TTTTTTTTCCCCTCCATCTCAATTGGGCTTTATGATTGTATAAGGTTTGGAAGGAAAGAATGACTGTTTTTGGCAAGTTGTGGGCAGCTCTCTTTTCCTTTTGCCATCCAGCGGCTCCCTCAGACAAAAGGAAAAGAGAGAGGTGTGCTCGAGGACCCCAGTGGTGAGGAGCCCACTCCCCAAGCCTCACACGCCCCCTCCCCCAGCGGGACCCTCTCTGGGCGGTTCACTGCTAGCCGCGTCAGCGCATGTGGCTCCCACTCCCGCTGTGAACACCTGAGATTGAGCGTGGATTTCTGTTCTCCACCAGCTCTGCAGCAAGGGCCCTGCCAGAGGTGTCGCTTCCTGTCATCTCAGCTTCCTGCTTCCAAGGAGAGGCACCTAAACAGAGATTAGATTTCTGGTTTCAAGGCATATCGAACCAAGCACGCCGAATGAACATGAGTTAGTTAAGTAGCTCGGACTCTCTTCTTTACATTCCCTGGTCTCAGCGTTCCTTGACGGCAAAGGGACCAGGAGAGAGCTGATTTGCATCTTAAGACCTATGGGTAATGCTTCTGGAGTGGGGAGGTTTATTTAGCAACTGCTTGAACTTGTGTACGGGGTCGGGAAGGAGGTGGAGCTGACCCCGATCGGGCTGTCGGAGAGTGGGGTGTGGGTGGTGCCCACTGCCACGCTGACGCCTCGGGCCTCGATGATGGCCGAGAGCAGCTGCTGCTGCTGCTGGCGCAGTGTGTCCGCGATGAGCACGGGCAGGGAGTTGAAGCTGGCCGTGAGGTGCTCCAGCTTGGACTCCAGGCTCCCAATCTGCTTTTCCAGGTCCTCACTCCGATCGTTGAGCTCTGTGATTAAGTCATACATGACGTTCTGCATCTGGAGGAGGGGCAGAGGGACGAGAGACAGGGGACCACAGGTCATCACAGAGCAATCTGCAGTGGCCAACGTGGAAACTCCTCCAGATTCCAACAGGAGTAACTCCCACTCCAGCCACGCCTGGCGTGGCCAAGGCGGCTGCAGCTTACTTTCCGG